ACTTAAATTGTGATAAATGATGCTTCAAAAATATCATGTTCTGTCAGCCATTTAATTGATAACCTTTGGTGCATTATTGAATGATGGGAAGGTAATAAAATGCAGTTAATATCATCCCTCTGCATTTCATTTTCTGTTTAAAGGACTTGTTACAGGTTAGTTAGAAATAAAATTTACCATAATAAAGTTGCGTAACGGCTTCATCAAGCTTTTTTCACAATTTTCGATATTCCTAAATACTTGGAATACATGACATCGCTAAAGAAAACGTATACAATGTCGAAAAATCTTAGATTTGTTTCAGAAAAAAGATAGTTTGTAAAACATTTTATATCTTCTTCATGATCATGACCGTGATCACTGTCAGTTAATGCCTTACAGTAAATTTTGGTTTTCATTTCGTAAAAACCCATTTTTTGTTTGTCAGGTGCCAATCATGTTTATTTATGAAAGTAACTAATATAAGCCAAGTTAAACTTTCTTAAATATACTTTAATATGTCCGCAACGACTTATTTTTACAATTTGTGGACATTTTGGACGCCGGTCTGAGAAAAAATATGAACTGATATGATTAAAATTTAGTACAAGACGAGACAGTTTATATTCTGAATCAATGAAAACTTACATTATTTTGATAATTTCAGGTTTTGTAAAACGTATCTTCTTGTAATATGGCATCCATATTGGAAGCCATCTTAACAAGAAAAATATTACATACATTCGTATGTAATATAGGTACGATTGCATACTACTTTTTGTGAAGACTTTATGTTTGCTGAATTAAAGGTGTAATGTAAAATGAACAAACATGTCATGAGATATTTAATTAATGTATCACCATATTAAAGTTGCATGCTTTCAGATGAGAAAAATGATTTCAAGGAAATCAAAATATGAAAAGAAAATGCACGGTCAATTGACTGCTTTGAAGCATAATCACAAAATAAAATTACAGGAAATTAAAAACCTTTTTAATACACTAAAGGTAGAATTTCATTGTAAATCATAGTCAAAGATTTGAGATATGATTATTTATTCATATTAACCTCATTATTGGTTATATATTGATAAAAAAACCCCCGAAAGACACAGTTTGTAGATATTGGGATGTGTTTGTAGATATTGGGATGTGCTTGGGATGATCACTTGATACTGTAAATGGCAGCCATTTTACGATACGAATCCTCGAAAAGTTTATTCTGCCGAAAAGATGTGAAAAAATACTTGCAATTCAAAGTTTGCTGGCTACATAAAGATTATCGATTTACTCTTTGCACACTTTTTCTCTGCCTGAGTAAAATAATATTGACGTGTTTTCATTGGCTGAAACCATCACGTTACCAATACACATGTAGGTGTGAACTAATTTCGTGTTCATTAAAATTACTCCGTTAATAGACATATAAAAATCTTATTTACAAATGAATTGATAAAACAACAATCCCAGAAGCATTTAAGATAATAACAATCATTGGAAAAAAATAAATGCATATAAATTGTAAATTTGTGTATGACAACTCAACCCCCTAAACAAAACATAATAGACTCAACCAAAACAAGCGCCTGCTTCTTCACCTAACTATGTAGTTGCATGACCATGATTAGCAATTTAGCGAACCAAATCTAAGAGATAAACCTATTGTAAAAATAATACTATGACCACAGCAGATTTCGTACAGAAAAGTTCATTATTCCCAGTAGTGACAGATTTGTACAACCTGAATTCTTTTCAATGTTTAACATTCAACATAGAAAGAATTGTTACTAATTAGTTCAGAAATGTTATCTCCCTTCCATAAATTTAGAAATAGGGTGAATCAATATTTTAATGGGTCGTCACCAGATCCATTTCTAATAAGGAGCTGGATTTTAATTGGATACTGAAAAAGGTGTGACATGCAATCTTTACCGGCACACAACGCTAGTTTAAGAATATGTTATATAATGCATTATTACACAGAATACTCATTATACATACTTATATGTCTTTCTTTAAGGCCACAATCCTATGAAACAAATAATTGCATATCAAACATCATTATAATAAATTGCAACCCTAAAGTATAACAAATTAAAATAGTCTATTGTCTACTATTGTTAGCTAATCAGGTTATATTTCCGACCCTTAAAGATTGTTCAGACCGACATTTTTGTTGTGTTTGTTGTAATATTAGTTCTAACCATTTGGCATTTTCAAGTAGGGTGGTTCCAATATTCCTGCTTGAAAATATGATTATGAAGATGTTCCATAATTTTTAAATTTTCTTTTGTCGTCTGATCAGGGATATGCAGGCTTCATAACCTCTGATCCCTTGGCTCCATAACCTCTGATCCCTTTTCAAAATTCCATTTTGTTTAGTTCCGCCCATTGAGCTCTAGTTTAGGGCACATGCTTTCTATGACTTTGATGTTTCTAATTCAAAATTTTAAACATTTTCATGTTTAAATGTTAAACTCTGCTTAACCGTTTCTAGGGATTTGGACAGAAGTTTGCAATTGAGAGTATCGTCCATGTATATGCTCATTTAAACCGAGCCTGCAACATTTTCAATTTCGCTGTTTTTAGAAACCTTTTTTAGAAATTTTTAGTTTTCAAATTGCATTAACTACAAGACATTATTTTTAAAAGATCACTAAAATTTATTCTTATTGATTTAATATTTATGACCCTAAAGTGCGGTCGTTTGTCTGAAATTAAAAATGCATATGTACCTGTCTAATGCACATTGGGGCCAAATTTTGACACCAAAGTGCGTAACGCACTTTGGGGTTGGACCCCAAAGTGCGTTTGACCCCAAAGTGTGGTGTTACAACGCAGTAAGTTTGAAACCCGCCAGAGACTTTCAATCTTTGTTTGTAGCAAACCTGTTCAGGTACCCTGCGATTGGTCAAATGACCTACACAAATGCATGTGGTTGCAATTATTCAAGGTAACAATACCAAACCAATCGAAAATCTTAAGTCGATTTATGACTTAAGAGAATAGAGTATAGTGTCATAACAAACGCAAGTGTAGAAGCAATTAAACCTTTCATGGTATATTAACAAAAATGGGGGCTTATTAATACGTTGTGAGGAAGGGGTCTCATATATTAGAAAATCGTATCTGTCGGTGCTTTGAGGTATTGGCGCTTACATTGATAACAATTCTTGCAGTCATGATTCATTTAGTGAAACCGACGCTGCTTTATTATACATTTGCAGTACAACGCAATCCTAATAGATAGACATGTACTGAATATATGTACGGCTGCCAGATTTTATATAAAATGTGGATTCTGTCTCAACAAACATTCAATCTATTAGTAAGCTCACTTACTTCTTTCTTTGATGACTGATAGAGTCTAGAATCTCAGGTGCTGCATTGTCACACATTTCGTTACATGTTGGTGCAGTTGAACAATGTCTTCTTATTGCAAATACCCAACCTTGAAATTTTGAGGCACAATATGCTTGAGCTATCTCATCAAAGTAGCTATAACTCAAGTCGTAGTATTCTATGGATCTGGAAGGTTCTATCTTCACTGAAAACAATGTGTTAAAGTCGGTGTAAAAAACAACAGAAGAACAAACAAATAATCAATAACGAAAATAGTGAATTTGTCAGATCAAACATGATTTCTGAGGCTATCACTTAGTCTAAAATCTGAAACCAAAGAAGTACAAGGCAGGGTGGCATTCAACGGATCCCAATACACAACCCGTCAACACAAGACCACCGGTAAGGAGCAAAGCAAGACACAAAAGACAGGACACTGGACAAGGCAAAGCACTGACGGGGTGTTAATTTAGATACTACACAATATGAAATAAAAGAAACTGGCAAGATAAATCATCAGTATGATTATGTATGTGACTGATTATTGGCAGTACTATGTTACGTTGCCGTTGCTTTCTCTCTCTCTCTAAAAGTTTTAACCCTCAGCAAGTGATGTATTGCAGGACCATAATATATCACCTACATGAGAACATCAGATAAGATTTAGTGAAACTGCAAAATGTATACAAAATTTAGATTGTAAAATTTGGTAACCGTTCAATTTATAAAAAGGCTATTGTGATGTAAGCAAGATACACATTTTTACCGGAAGCGAACTCGAAGAATTTGTTTCTATTTACAGACAAAAGATTTATAAAAGTTTTTTCTCGCAGATTTGTTTCTATATATTAAGTGACTTAATCTATGATTTGCACAATTTCCATAAGTATTTCAAACGTTGATACAGACAAAAGAAAGGTATCCTTTACATATCCTTATCAAATCTTGCTAAAAAACGGGTGATAAGATTCTAAGTGATTTAGTATGAGCATTTATATGATTAATGATAATATTTTGTTCTAGAACATTTTATTACTTTCTATATAAATACAACAAACTGTATATTTAATATCGGACCATGTATCTCACACTTGCCAACAACATCCATACATTGTTTATGTCATGATTTGTTTCTGATACTTAATACAATTAACACAAATATTTATTGTATTACAGACTTTCTATTATAGATCAATTTGCTGTGAATACAAAACATTTTTCCAAATATTTATTGCAGATTTGTTGATATTGAATGTCTGTTCTGTTCTGTTCTGTTCTCTTCTACTTTGTTTTGTTTCTATTGAAAGTCAAAATATTAAACTTACCGATTTTTTCTTTTACTTTTTTGTCGTTAGCTTATAATATATATTTAAAATTTAATGAAAGAATATCACTTAATGATGACTAATTCAGATATTTTTGCTAGGGAGAATGGCGCTTTTAAACGATTTACAACAAAACAAAACTTTATGGTGGTGGTGGTAGTTTTCACTCCGGGCCACGGCAGTAGGCCACAATGAATTTAGTACAACACAGGTCTGTCACCGTATCGGTCCTGGACAGGCCATCAGTTGCCTACACTTTTGCATGGAACTGAAACTTCTGTACATACAAGAGCAGTAGTACAGTGCGAATGAAAGGAGTTCATGATCAATCACAACGAAAGTGTCCTGCACCGTCCTGGAATCCAACCTGGGTCGCCCGAATCACAGTCTTTAATGAACCTATGTGTCTATACGGCCGGTATTTTGGTTTTTGCTGCAAAACAGCTGGTTTTTCAACTTTTTCGCTTCATCTAATTTTGTAATGTACTGTTGTGGCTTGAATTAAATGGTAGGAAATGTAGTTGCCTTATTGTAGAAGACTAGTTTCACTTTATTCATGAATATAGACCAAATGTACCTAAATTTATTAATTATATAAATGAATGAATCCTAGTAACAAAACAGAAATTAGAAACATATCAATGTACATTTTAAAACATTGATGATTGGAACATTTCTCTTTATAATTGAAAAAATATATATAATATGTCTTTTTATTTTTTGACAAAGTCCGTCTGAAAACGGTTAGACATCCTGTAAAAATTACAGAGAAGAACTGAAAGCAGGATTTCCATTGGTAATATTTATATAAAAGACTAAAATGAGGGAATCTCATCAGCCATTCTGAAATAGATACAATATAGTAATGATCTAAATGATCTTCCTGAAAGGTATAAACGTCCAAGTTATGAAATTATTATAATGAGTATCGAAAACTAACTTACTAGGTAAACTAATCAGAATATCAATTTTGAATTTAATCCAAATATCACACTGAATATAATCTTAAACTTAATATAACGTGACATGTAACTTCATTTTGGCTGGTCGAGTATTTTTCATCTTATTTATTTTCATAAAAAAGAAGATTTTAAAAAATATACATAAGAACTTGCAAAAAAAAAGATATCAAAGAATAATTTCATCCTTAAAATAAAAGATAAAAAATAAAAACATATTTACAAAGAAGAATAATCGCAATGCAGAAAACCAAGTTTTTTTCCTTCCGCCACTCCATCATATTGCTTTGTTTTTGACCGAAGCTGATTTGTTCCGACTTTTTATAACTAATACCATATGTAACAAATGTTTTAATTGCCATCCCTCTTAACGCATTACCTCGTGAATCGAATTAACTTGCGGAATAATATGTAGTTATTGTTGGCATTCGGGTTGTTTGCAACTTACTGTAAAAGGAAGGCATTTCTCGCATTGCTTTAATTTAAAGTGTTTTTAGAGTCAACATTTGGATAATTATATTTGCTATTATTGTTCGACTACAAGGGGGAGGAAGGTTTGTACTCTTTAAATTCCCTTACGTCGTATGTACTTGAGTTAACGTTTATTTAATAAACAACGAACCCTAATGTGCATGTACGTATGTCAGCTGCCAAACTGGTATTTTCTCAAACAATGACATCACATCGGAAAACACCCTCTCACGTTACACAATTTCAAAGAACATAAGAATAACAAAACTTGTCGAGTTATATACAATATTTTCGGATATAACTCAACTTTTACCGATTAATTACGATTCGAAGTCCTTTTCTTGTATCAATATAACCAAATACCGTTTCTTCACACAGATCTGGATGTTGTCTTTTTGACTATGGTGATGTGTTTATGATTATTAAATACATTTGTACTTTTCTTTGAAAAGCGGCAATTGACACGACAATGAGCTTTGGAACAACACAATGAGAAACTGAAACAATATAGTTACATGTGTATTACGCGATCAGTTTATTTTATAAATAAGATTTTGAATCAAACGAAAAATTCTTCCATCGCAAATAATGACTAGTTTAATATGCAGTATGTCGTGCATTTGAATACTAAATATTATTAGCTTTTTTGCACCCATCATCCGATTAAATAAATAAAAGTTATTATATTATGGAGCCCATTACCATAAAGTAAGCATCTGCACCATAAACTAATCTGTTAATATTTCACTAACACCGATTTTATAGTAAGCCTTATGTAACTTATGATTTATTGCAATACTTAGTGAGAAATATTCAACATTTACAAAATCCCATACACTTTTATACATTGCTGATACTTATGCAATGGTAGGATACTACGTCGTCGCGCAACCAATCGGACTGTTATCCCATCGAGTCGAAAATAAAATATGATTAATTCTAAGGAATCGTTGGAATATCAAAAAATAATGCAGCGCACTAAATATAAGCTTTAGTACTTGAAATATTTGTGAAAACGTTTAAAGTTTTACTATCGATAACAAAATAAAGTTTCTTTGGGAGTCCGAGTGGAAGAATTTAGGAAAAAACTTTATCCTGTTTTCAGGACTAAACTAGGCAGTAAAACTTTTTTTAAACATTTTATAAAATTAATCAAGTATTAAAGTCAATCTTTGGTGCGCTACATTATTTTTTAATAGTCTAACGGTTTCTTAGAATAAAAACATATTTTTCCTTCGAGTCGACGGGATGTTTACAAACAAAAGTCCGATAAGGAGCATTTTGCAGGTGAGCGATGATAATAAAATATTTTAATCGACATGAGGTAATATAACCATTATAAATATTGAAAGGGGGAGTGGTTTATTTTCAATTTCAAGAGAATTCGCAAAAATGAAAACCTGACCTTCAAGGTTATTAAACTTTTAGTTCTGTCTCAAATCTTGGGTGTTTCATTGGTCAGTGTACATTCTGTGGCAGTTTTTGACCAATCAAATGCCTGATTCTGAGCTTAAGGTAGCTCGCTACTTTCCGACCTAAATTTGACAACATCTCAGATCTTGATGATTTTTTGTATGCAAACATATAGATATGTGAGCTTTACTTCTGCAGTATTATTTTATAAATAAACAGCGTTACTATGACGTCAAAGCGCCCTCTATCGGTGGCGGCGAAATTGCGTCTTTTTCTCAGTAAACCAATCTGTTCTTATCAATTTTCATCCGATTTCCTTCGTTTTAATTTTATAGTGTTCAGTAAATGTATGTCTTTGTAATGATATCTTTCTTTAACATTTGCTTAATAGTCTGCGATTCTACGTCATTTGTCTCTACATTCTGACGTCCATATCTGATGCAAATACCGCGCGATATCGCAATAAAGATTGTGTAATGTGTAATAAAAAAAATTCAACACGGTGAACTTTGCTATAATTTTTCGAGCGTGTAGCGAGAAAGTGAAGGAAAATATTTATGCAATAAAAATATAGGGTCAACGCGTAAGATATTTTGCTATTACTGTTTTAAAATAAAATAAAGGGAATGTAACGTAGTGATTTTGGTGGCGTTAATAGACGTTGGAGTTCAAAGAATAATACCAAATAACAATTTTCTTACGTCAAACATTACGATTGTAAGTATAAACAACACAGGAACTTGATGAAATGTATATTTTGTAAATTGTTGATTATTTTCTCATTGAAAGCATGCGCTAGATGAGCAAATTTACAATGTTTAATCGTAAATACGATTCTAATTTGCAGGACGCAGTCTCAAACATCTTTTAATTTTTATTTATATTTTGATGTTTGTAATGAAAGAGTGAAAAGTGTTATATTATTATATGAATTAACTAGTTTCAGCGCAAAAAAAAATAAGATTCACATATTGCTGTATGAATGAAGTTAGAATATTAGGTCGCTTAGCTTATACCCGTTAGAATATTTATTTTAAGTTACATTCAGCTTTTAAACACTTTCATAAAATCACATACAGTCAGAAGAGCCTCGGTGTCAAAACACATCGTAAAAATGCATTTAAAATAGATATGCATACAAATGTGCAATAAGTGATAAATTAAATTCAGAAATAATAAATTCAAATATGTTAAGAATATTTAAAAACAAACTGTACAAGAAACAAAAACATTTATTTTTGCTTACCATTTTTAAGTATGTGCAATACATAGATTATATAATTATAATCTAATTAAAATGTCATAATTAGAAAATGACAAACTATAAAACTTTTTGGAACTCGGATTTACGTTTACCTACTTACCGCTTTTTCATTAAAGTATAACAAAGCGGCCCTCAAAATATTTTTATTTCTAAAGGGCTCCACTACATTTTACCTCTGTAGAGCAACCGCTCTAGGCAACAAAGGGCATTTCTCTGTAGATGTTATCCTGTATATTTTAATTAAATACAAAATATAATTATTAAATAACTTGTGCAACTTTTGTTACCACTGAATACGAATTATGTATTATGTTGACGTTATCGTGTTCATTTTTAAAATACAATACAGTTTGCTTAAAAAAAAAAAAAATAGAAAACCCCCCCAAAAAAAAAACAAAACGAAAACACACACCAAAAACACGTGTTTATGATTTAAACAATAAAGAGGACTTCTGCCTTATTAAGGGAGATCATAATCAGGTTTTTAACTTTGAATATTCTTCTGTTGCCACGGTGTAATCGGTAAAGTGGTCTTACGCTGAATTCGGAGGGCATGTATTCGAGACACGATTGCGTCTTGTACTAATAGATTATCCTTTAAAATTGTTCACTGTGTATGTTCACCTCGGACTCCTGTCATTTATTTCCGTAGAGAAGTTGATACTGTGAGAAACACTGGTTTTGTTAAATTCCCTCAGCTATAATTGAAATACTGTTGAAAGCGGCGTTAAACCCAATATTAAAAAATAAGAAGATATGAAACATAAAATGCATAGTTCATTTCTTTCATAGGCTCTACATAGCACTGTATTATGTGCAGACAAAAACGAGCTTCTCCGAAAACCATATTCACACAAATTGAGGATCCTACATGATCGTTTTCAATACAAGGGAATCTGTATTAATTTTAATATGCAAAATTATCCGCTTATGAACATACAAAATAAATCAACGGATCGGATCTTTCGCCTCGAATCGAGAAATGATCGCGGCTTCAGGTCGCCTCAAAGATGCGCTAGTAAACGCATACCGCGAGTCAGCGAGTTTTAAATAAATAAGAATATCTGTAATTATGTGAAATGCGTGAGAAATTCAAGCCATAGCACGAGAACGTGATTCCTCCTTTAAATCTGAGTCTCACGCTTAGTGCAGGGGTATTATTTACTAGTATTTAGCTGCGAGAGAAAATAGAATAACTGATGGCTGTTAATAAATGAGCCGTGTCACGACAAAACCAACATACTGTTCGCTTTTAAACATTTTAATAAGTAGAGCAACTGATAGCGAACAGAATGGATCCTGATCAAACTGCGCGGATGCGCAGGCTGGTCTGGATCCATGCTGGTCGCAAACGCACTATGTTGGTTTTGTCGTGACGCGGCTCAAATAAATTTTTATACGAGTAGAAAAGTTTTAAAAGAAATGTCTGCTAGATTTATATAATTAAGACTACCAGTGAATCATGACTTACGTACAAATCGTTGTTACTTCGAGTTGATCATACATTTTTGAAACGTAAATTTGATTCATTTCCTACTAACTGATATATACAATTCGAAATTGTTACATACGTATGATAACATGGAAGTTTATGTAGTACCGAGATACACATAACATGATGACACTGCGACTGCACCAGCCTTTTCATTCTTTTTTCTGACATTCTTTGCAAAATTTATGTTTGTATTATTTCCACTTAGGTGGCCTTTTAATTATATCTTTCAATATTCTGAATTGTCTTTCAGTCCTCGAGGTATTTATAACCATTCGTTTCAGTTTTTTAGAGATTGATACAAACTTTTGCAGACAGTCATACCCTGATTTGTTGTACATGTATATAATTGAAGTTGTTCATCGAAATGCGGGCACCTGACAGGACTTTTAAAAGAACATTTTACGGAATATGTCTAAATACAATTGTTGTTGATGGTTTTCACACATTTTAATTCCAGTCAGTATACTATTCATCGGAAAAGTCGTGACAATACCCTTGAGAAAAATATTTGACGTCACAAAAATCATTACGTTTTACTCATCCTTTATCTTATATTAAAATAGCAATAGCAAAATATCTTACGCGTTGACCCTATATTTTTATTGCATAAATATTTTCTTTCATGACTTCACTACATGTTAAAAAAATTATAGCAAAATTCACCGTGTTGATTTTTTGTTATTTTACAATCTTTATTGCGATATCGCGCGATATTTGTATCATAAATGGACGTCAGAATGTAGAGAAAAATGACGTAGAATCGCAGACTATTAAGCAAATGTTAAAGAAAGACATTATTTCAAAGACATACATTTACTGAACATTATAAAATTAAAACGAAGGAAATCGGATGAAAATTGATAAGAACAGATTGGTTTACTGAGAAAAAGACGCAATTTCGCCGCCACCGATAGAGGGCGCTTTGACGTCATAGTAACGCTGTTTATTTATAAAATAATGCTGCAGAAGTAAAGCTTACATATCTACATGTCTGTATACCAAAAATCATCAAGATCTGAGATATTGTCAAATTTAGGTCGGAAAGTAGCGAGCTACCTTAAGTACCCTGGCAATTGAAGACAACTGTCCTGATTCGTTGGGTAACAATGGCGCATTGTTTTAGTAATGTTCGATTAAAAAATAGTATCTAAGCAGTTGTATGCGCTGATTTGTTTCTTTACATTTGATTTATAACATAACATACTGGTCCGTTTAATAACAGTGTTACCCGTTTTCACTATATAATTCCAATATTCGGCGGTACCCTAACACATTAACTGCGTTATTATGACATTCCTGCGTTAAATAATTTATTAAACAAATTATAGAGCGGAAAATGAAAATAAACATTCACGGAATACCTTGTGAATATAGCCGTATTCCCGTACATACACAAATGCAAAATGCAAATAAATAATAATTAATAAATTGGCCTGACATATTCAACTGTTCTTTAATATCAATTGTCGGAGGGAAAGTTACTAAACTAATATGGATTGTACGGGTCTGTAGGAAACAATATTTGGGCGAGATTTAATATTAAGTGCCGATATGGCTTTCAACAGAACAATAAATATCCATACTGTAATGACACATTGTCGTAAATTTCTAAAAGTATACAAATTTTTATAATAAAGTAAACAACAGAGGGAATAAATATGACAGTTTCAGTTTTATTGAATACTAGTAAATCGAGAAGATACATGTAGAATTTTTGCTGTGTTTATATAATCGTACATTTGTTGATTAATACGCTTTACAGGTCCGCAGTGATTTGTTCTCCAAGTAAATCGTCCAGAGCCCTTTCCGTATGAACCTATATTAACTTTTCCAGAATCAGGTTGGTCACTTCCAGGGTTTGCTTTTAGAAGGGCGTGACTCTTTGTTATATGGAATGCATCGTAACATGACACGCTGTCAATATATTATGTAAAAAAAGAAGTTGTTACAAAAGTAAAATTTAATCTGCTATTTCATTATTATTATCATGTCACAATTATCCTAATTAGCAGCATCCTAATCATCGTCTTTATACTTTGTCATTATTATTATTATTATTATAAGTGTCATAATCTTCATAATCATAATGATATTCATTATCATTGTCATTATCATTGTCATTGTCACCACCAGCAGTATAAAGCTCCTTTCCATAATCCTTATTTTTATAATTACCATCGACACCACTATTTTCAACATCATCACATTTTTTATAAAAATAATAATAATAATAATAATAATAATAATAATAATAATAATGATAATAATAATAATAGTAGTAGAAGTAGTAGTAATAAAAATAATAATAATATTTTATTATTATTATTATTATTATTATTATTATCAAAACCACCATTAACATTATTATCATATTCAGCATCATTTTTATAGCCCGAATCATCGTTATTTTTCTTTTATAATTACCATCGACACCACTATTTTTCAACATCATCACATTTTTTTATGATAATAATGATAATATAATAATAATAATAATAATAATAATAATAATTTTAAATTATAATTATTATAATAATAAAAATAATAGTAGTAGTAGTAATAATTATAAAAATAATAATAATATTTTATTATTATTATTATTATTATTATTATTATTATTATTAAAACCACCATTAACATTATTATCATATTCAGCATCATTTTTATAGCCCGAATCATCGTTATTTTTCTTTTATATACAATAACCATAACCACAATTAGACCAACAACAAAGATACACTGATACAGTTGAAAATAATAATCAAAATGTTTTTCTTACTTCCTTCTCTGGTTAAAGAAAGATCTTAGAATAGAGCTTTTAGCAGCTGCACACATATCTGCGCATGTCGGCGCATAAGCACAATTTCTCCTAGTTGCAAACACCCATCCAGGACTCCTCGAAGCACCATAAGTCTGGGCCATCTCATCAAAGTAACAATAACTCAAACTATAGCGTTCTACTGAGCAAACATGGCCTTTGCTCACTGAAAAAAGTGAAATAAAAAGTAAACCTTTTCCTAAGCACATGTGTAGAATTAGTGAAACTAGACCGTTAATTAATTTTTTTTAATTTATTTATTTATTTATTAATGTTGTATCTTCTATTTAGAATTGCTGGAACTATATATTTGTTGATATTTTTAGAGACTAGGAAAGACTTCAAATTATCAATATAATAATACATATAGATTATTAAATAGGAAAATCATATTTACGTAAAAGAATCAGCGCAAGGTAAACAATACTTCTATATCTATTCATAGTCGTGTGCCAAGTTAGTTTTTTTCTTTATCACAAACGGGGTTGACTTGTTTGGTCGTTGTATTTCTGAAGCAGCACTTGTCATTCGCAACTGGTTCTTAAATCATAAAGCAATAGGCTCTAAAACGCCAAACAAACAGCCAGTTTAGGAGGCTATGGAAATTAGCAAGGAACGAAGAGAGTTTCGCAAAAATTATTTATAGCTGTTCATATAGGGGTAAGTTACTTATATATCAATTGCTTTGTCCCTTTTTTATGGTCTGTTCTATGTAAATATAATTGCTTTATTGGCTGTACATCCATTATAGAAGAATGCGTTTTCTCTTTTTACATCAATTTCATTGGTTGTAAATGGCATCAAAAATAACTGAGACATGCACGAAATGACTTTAAAATGGATAAAATCCTACTATGTATGGTTATTGCAAAATGCTTTTAATAACTATATTAATTTTATCATTATACTGTAAATGTATTGGTAAAGGCACTTTGTAGTCTGCAAATATTCTACAAATATCAAACTCTTTTTATTCATCTTTTTTAAATTATATCAGAAATATCCGATAAAGGATTGTGTTGTGTTTATATCTAAACAAAAATACATAATTTAAGAGTCATTTTGATGAACTTTATCTGTTAGAGGATTTTCAATGCACTTATATATTTTACCTACACCCCCGTACATCTCTTTTAACCTTGAAAAAAATGCACTTACGTAAGTATATCCTGCAACGCCTACATCTATCTTTTTCAGTCATTGTCATACATTTAATCCCGGACATAACCTGTCGTAACTAACCAATTGATACACCTTTCTCACGCACAGCATAAAAGTTGCAAGGTCATAGTCATTTCATGTTTGTATTTCTTGATTATAATAACATACTGCAGTATAGTTAGGTTGGTAGAGTTAGGACTCCACATTTGTTTCATGGGGACTCCTACTTTTTCAGTTTGAGAGTCCTGGACTCCTACTTTAAAAATCCTAGTGAGAGCCTTTGAAACATTGAACAGTGTTACGGTTCTGATTGACAGACGCTTACAGTTAGTGTGGTCATCCTTCGGAGGACAGCACTTCCTTGAAGTTATTTACTGATTTTGTGTTCGTGGTCATCCGAAAGGGGGACAGCGTTCACTTTCCAGGGTTTTACAGCGACAAGCATCTTGAATGTAAGTAACCTTTATTGAATAATTGTCTTGCATATAGGTATATATACATCAATTAATAAAATAAAAATTAGGCATCACACCACCAAATTTTTTCACACTTTACCCTTCCCATTGAGTACTACACTACACCCCTTTTTAAGTTCACAATACGTTTCGCATACTTTTCAATAATAGTTGTTTTCATACATATAATAATTGTTGTAATTACTAGACATTGTGGTTAATCAGGTTCTACCGGTCCAGATTGGCTAGTCTATTATTCAATATTTTATCAAAATATTTTTATTGTGAAATCTCTGTTTGGTAATTTGCCTGGTTCTACCAAAGCGGCAATATTATCCATTATAATAGTAGACAATTTAATATTAAAGTTTACTTGTTCAAAGTATTTATGTAAGATAAAAATTATTAATTTTGTCTGCCCTGCATTCATCACATTTTTTGTTGCAATTATTTTGTATTATAATTAAATACCTGTCATTTATTGAGCAATAATTCACATTTTTTTCATCATCTATGATTATAATATCAATAAATATATAAAATACTTCATTCATACATAAATCATTGTACAATTTCTATAATATAGTTACCGAGGATTTTTATATGCTTAGAATGTAAGCCAAAACTAATAACAATACTTTGATGGAACAATGAGAATATATACAAATAAACAAAGAAGGCGAGTCAGTTGATGGTTAATTGTGAAATGATGTATACAAATTATTTGTATATATATATTCTACATGTAGACGATATTTTTAGAAGGTAATTCCTACCGAAAGTATTCTCACATACATTGTTCTAGAGCGGAACGGGGAACCACGCACGTGTTGCGGAGAACACTACCGTCTACATGTACAATTTGTCTTAAAATACAGGCACATAGGACTAAGTGTCACTCGTCGAGGATAAAACCATTTAAAAGTATGTAAAATCCAGTTGTTTGCATGTGTGTTTGACTCATTTGATCTTTTTGTTCATGCATTTCAAGCGTAAATACCAGGCCATGGAAGATTTTGACACCGAGAACGGACATACCCATAATTTTCAAACTCGGATATTGCATACCTTGTCTATAACAATACAACAATAAAAAGAATTCTATCACAACAATTTTTAATATATTGATATTTTATTGCATAAATAACAAGGTTAAACACATTTTAGGTCAAATCAATGCCACTAGCTCCTTTGATTGTTGTTGTTACGAATATGGCTAAAAATACCATGGCTAATCTGATAAGTGGGAAAAGTGACATCATACCATACATGGCAAATCAAACTTTAGGTCCCCAAAAGTTTCGTACGTTCCCTTCTGGTGAAAACAAGGAAAGCTACACTGGCCACCAATGTCGTAGGGCTCCTTTTTCCTAACAAAGGAGGAGCTGTTTTGGCCTGTAATGGCACGGAAACAAATAAAACAATTTACTACGGTGGAAAGAAAACAACACAGCTACTTCGTGGCGCAAACCAATGGAAGTATATTCAATGTGCAAAACTACAAAATGCAACACGCATGCCATTTTAATAATTGAATGAATACATGAATATGAGTAATTAATAACAACCAAAGTTACATTAAATGGCACGGAAACAAATAGAGCAATTTACTAGGCAGCAAAAAAAGCAACACAGCTACTTCGTTGAGTTTAAATTTGCTTCGAAGTAATAACTAATCGTAATTTAGCGGTTAAGGTGTCTGCCTGTCAACCAGGGATTATCGGTTAGAGCTCTAATGGGGCCACGGCCATGTTTCTTCATATGATACCAGTACTGGTTGGTTCAAGGAAGCGATTAATATAAGTTGCAAGAACTTGTTTTGCAGTCGAGTTTAAATAAATGTTTAAACAAAATAATCTTAAATTTACATGTAGGTACAAAATGAATTTTAAAAGGCAAATGTATTACAGAGACATTTTGAACTGGTTTTCATTTTTCTCTATCTTGAAATTTTAAATGATGGTATTTAGAGAAATTAATATTCTAAACGAAAAAACAAACAATAGACCGATCGACATACGACCGATCGACTAACTATTTAACCAACCATATAAATAAACAGATAACTAATAAATAAATAATTAAATAAATAAATAAGATAACAAAACTATAAAGTGCTCTACAAGGCGAGAAACAAAATGCAGTTGGATGCAAATCTATGTTAAACTTAAATGTAAATTAAGTTTATTTTCAGATTTGAAATTCCTTTAATTTGGATAATAATATATAAAATGTTATTAAATGGTAACAGTTTTTTGTGTTTATCTTTAATCTTATTTAATTTATTCACTGATGTAATATCCTTATGAAAACCCTATAACATTTCACATCAACACCATTCAATTATGATAATAGTTACCATATATAGCTATGCTTTATATATTATCTGATCCTTTGTTCTAATAAAATGAGACTGTCTGGCGACAAATTTGTGATGGTGTATGATTCTTATCGTTGTTTACATCAAAACACTGTTAAGGATGCAGTTAATATCTATGAGTTATATTGTTTAATTACAACATCATAAAAAAAAAATATCCGGGTATTGCAAATATAATTATAAAAAAGAAATACATAAGGAAGAGAAAATGTTTCTTAAAGAAACTTAATGGATATTTTCATTGGTTGGTTATCTCGTCCATGTCAGATTTGACACAGGATACACACAGTGGGAAAATCTGATGCATTTAAGCAAAGTGTTGAGCCACTAAATAACTATATTAAATGCTTTAAAAGGATTGATTAGGTGATCATCTAAGTAAGTATCTTTATTTTTATATTTAAACACATACATTTCAAATATGACTATTATGTGATTTTTCTTGTAAACTTTAGCTAGAAAGTGTAATTTTTGCAGGGGTATTTAGTCAACAACTAGAGAAATATCAAGTTTGTTTCGATATTATAACAGAAAAAGATGTCTGTCAAGCAGATTAAATTCTACGATATCATACAACATAAGATAAGAAACAATTCTGAAATACCGCCAACAGTTACAGTTAAAACTTTCGGTTTGTAATTACATCATAAGCATCAAATAAATAATGAATATTTTTCTTGTATACTTTTTAATTTATATCATACCGTAAGTGGAATTAAACACGCTAAATTACATATTTCGTGTTACCATGTTTAACTGTTGTAGCGTAGATTAAACCGAATGGCCATGTCCGGTCGGTTTATCACTACTTTTGTGTTCCAAATCCTTTACCGAGTATTTAAGAAAGAACCGACAATTTGTGATTGACGTTAGTCCTATGATCATTTTTACTCTCTATCTTACAGATGAATACCGTACAATGTACCCTGTATTGTGACGCATTTAATGCCAGGCTTTATTATTATTATAACTTATATGAAACTGAAAAGAGTATTCATTTATGAAATAGCATTTTCGGCGGATAACATACAATTTTTGTTAAAACGGTTTAAATGATTGGCGTTGATCTACATAGTGTCATTAAAGCAAGAATACGTCTCAATTACACCAATGATGTGTCTGGATTAGACCAGGAATGTGTATTGAGTACACAAATAATGTGTATTGAGTAAAAATGATGTGTATTGAGTACAAATAGAATTTGTATTAAGTGCACAAATAATGTGTATTGCTGAGAACACAAAGAATGTGTATTCAGTACAAAAAGAATGTGTATTGAGTACACAAAGAATGTGTATGAGTTCACAAATAATGTGTATTGAGTACACTGAATACACAATGAGAAATGAAAAAGAAATCAATAATACAAAAATAAATCAAAGTGTACAGATGGTCTGGCCATCTGTTATGTAAGTTACGTAAAAATGTCTTTTGTATGTCTGGTAATCATAAATAGATACATGTATACAGTTTGCACCGCTTAAAGATGTGTGCGTGCGTGCATGTGTGTGTGTGTGTGTGTGCGCGCGTGCGCGTGCGCGTGCGCGCGTGTGTGTGTGTGTGTGTGTGTGTGTGTGTGTGGATAAGTTTTTATACTATAGCAGCCGGAATCAACCATATGGGTCAGATTAGCTGCGCAGTTGCTGGTCCGATCGTAGTGCCCAAATCAGCAGTGACTTTAATTTTCAAGGAGAATCTTCTCTCACCTGTTCTTTGTCCGTCGGGGATAAGTGAAGACGACAATACTTCCGAGACATTAGTTTATAAAAAAAACATCCATTGTTAGCACCACCCTCCTCTATAATGATGAAAGGAATGTAGGGAAATATTGAGATAGATCGTGATCATCATTTGTTTAAGTGTTAATGACAATAACAAGACAGGCACAAACTCCTATTGTATTTATAGTGATTACTCGGATATTAAGTGTAATAAATGAATAAGAAAACATTTATATGTATTTAAAACATTATCAATTTAGTTAAACAAATTATGTCATGTATGTGGAAAGTGCATGTCTTGAAAAGAATGAGATGAAGAATGTCATTTTATAAATGTTATAATAAATGTTAATTTTTTTACAATATATTTTGTTTGCGAAATAAAAAACAGAAACAACAAAACAAAATTAAAAACAAAAAGAAAAACTACAAAACAAACAAAAAAATAAACAAAAAAAAACAATAGCATTGTAAAACTACTAACTGATGATAATACTTAATAGTCGTTTATACATGTTATAATTGTTGTATAAAATAGACATATGCATTCCATATCCTCAAGTACCACTTTAATGAATTTTGACAGAAATTCTTTTGTTCGTTGCTGATTTCAAAGAAGAAATTATCTACCAAAGTTTTATAAGATAGGTTTCATTATGTGGTATTTTGGTTTTTAAGACAAGTCAAGCCCTGTTTGTGACAAAAGTTCAACCTGACACGAAGCAATGGAAGGACGTAAAGATATCTTATACATTACTGCGGTGATTTTTCTATGTAAATATTATTTCTTATTTCATAGTTTTGCGTACTTTGAAATTTCAACATATTATTTATTTTTAATAAGCAATTTTACATATAATTCATGAAAATCATGAACTTGGTGAAATAGTATATTTTGAAATTGCCACATATTAGATCTATTACAGCTTACATACATATGTATTCATAAACACACACACACAAAATATTTTCATTAACAATGATAAAGTTCAAATATAATTTATAAGTGTTTCAACAATTCCGCATTCATTATGTACGATTCTAGGCAAGTTAATGGCCACACGGTAAACTACGTTTACGTTTCTTTTTTTTTTCTTTTTTAGTGAACATAGACTATTCCAGATCAGTAGAACACTACAGTTTGAGCTATAATTACTTTGATGAGATAGCTCAGTCCTATTGTGCTTCGAGGAGTCTTGGTCGGGTGTTTGCAATTAGGAGAAATTGTGCTAATGCGCCGACATGTTTGACCATGTGTGCAAATGCTAAACTCTCCATTCTGAGATCTATCTCTTATTTAAGACAGAGGTAAGAAAAATAACATTTTTATTAATTATCTTCAATTGTAAAGCCAAACATTCTATTGTATCGACCGCAACTCAATGTAAACAAACACTTTCATTTACCCACTCACTAACTTTCCATAGAAGATTACATTGTAGTACCGCTAAGCTTTGTAAGTTTCCTCGTGTCTTTCAGCCAATACAATCCAACTACGTCATCGCTGATGACGTCATATCTGACTTAATTTTTTATATAAAACACTAAATATTTATGAAATTGAAATTGGCTATTGCTTCTATTTTCACATTATATATTCACAGCGTGAAATGTTATGATGCATTCCAAATAAGAAAGAATCATCCCCTTCTAAAAGCAAACCCTGGAGTAGACCAACCTGATTCTGGAAAAGTTAATATGGTTTCATACGGATACGGCTCTGGAGGATGCACATGGAGACCTAATCACTGCGGACCGAACTATTGTTGCTGCAAAGCTTTTTAATAAAAACAACAGACATATATATCTTTGTATATTTTCAGTTGTACTTTTTTTTTCAATTTTGTTTATTTGTTTGTTTTGTGTTTTGTTGTTTTGCTGTCTTTTTGCTTAGACTTTATACTATATATTTTATGAATTAAAGTCTCGCGTGATGATGTGCTTTTAAATTGGCTGAAATGTCCCTGTCATCAATATGTCTTATATTTTCCTTATGTCTTATATGATATAACTATTTTTGTAACAAGTAAGGTGCTTTGGCTCGAGGAAGTAAGGCTTCTGTATTTAAGCTACACCTCATTAATAATGCATTGAAGAATTGACATTGTTGTGATATAAGCATGTACCCAGCCACAAGTCTAAAGCATTTAGGCAGTCTTGATATAGACTGTATAAGATTGATATTTAGTTTTAACTATCATAATGGGATGCGCACAGCAAGAAATTGCAGAGAGCTGATAGTAAAATGATTCTTATAAATGTAATATATCTATATATATTTCTTATAACATTCATTAAATGGCCAAAAAAATGTTGTTGTTTTTTTGTTTGTTTTTTTGTTTTTGTTTTTTTCATTTCTTTTTTATTGTCTGTCATTAACAAAGTTTTAGGATTTTTTTCTGATTCATTTACATAATAAATAACAGCGAACGATATTTTAACTTATAGTTCACTCTGCTCCTTGCAGTGCTTTTCATCTGTTGTTTCTCTTAGGTGTCTTTTTTGACATTAAAATGAATTAATATGGCAGTTTTCAAATATTGAGAATTAAACTCCGCTTACTAGAATGGTAGGTTCTCTTATGGTAAAAAATTAGAACATCATTAATATTGCACAATTTCTTTATGTAACCAAGCAAATTTAGAATGGCTGTAGAAAGGTCGGTTTAAGCACAGTATGGCTCATTTTCTGTGCTCGTTATTTGCCAGTTAACAGATATCAGGAATCTTTTCTAGTTTTCTAGTCTAAATGTTTTGTCTGCAAAAGGGCAAAGCGATTATACACACTGAAATTTGCCATATATCTGCCTTATACATTTTAAGGGGCGGCATACAGAATGTCTATGTTTGCCACAATTATATAAGTAGAATAAGCAACATTTAAGTTTTTTTTTGTCCAGAAAAATTGTCCTGTTATTTATATCAATGCTCATAAATAACCAGCTGAAGCACAAATGGTGCTTTCCCGCAACATAACTCAATTTCTACAAAATGACTGATTCACAATAGTTCGACTGCAAGACCGATCTGATATTACATGATATTTCACGAAGGCGGCCGTCGTATATAACAAAAAGCCGTGGCCAACTAAATGTTGGACTACAAAATCAAAGCACAGCTTAGCCAGAAAGAAATTCTGAAAGCGTACATTTTCGTAATTCAGAAGCATTTGCTTGTTCAAAATCAGTTACTTTGTCAATGGAACATTATTTTCTCCATCTGACAGTGATTAAATCCTGAAGGAATTCGTCATCTCCTCCTGTTGGATAAAAATTTAAAACGTCCGCCATGACCTGTCTTTGTTCTTACACCTTGTGACCGGCAAATTATACATGTAAGGCTATTCTATCTCATTCAGATACCACATAATTATTTACTTTTTTGCCCTCAAACATCATCATTATCATTTGTTGAAAATCCACACGGGCCATGATGATCTTAACTTATTGCCTATGTACGCTTGTGCGTCTTGCCAAGAACTGACTCAATTTCTTGGACATTGACCAAGGCTGATTTGTTCTGGCTTTGATATAACTAATAGCATATGCAGCAAATGCTTTTATTGTCGTCCCTCTAATCATAACCCTTTGACGTGATCGAAAAAACATTCGGAATAATTTATAGTTATTGTTGTTTGCAACTTATTGTAAAATGAATGCATTTCTCGCACTGCTTTCCTTACAAGTAGTTTTTAAAAGTCAACATTAACATATATTTGAATTTATTTTTTGAATACAAGGGGTAGAAAGGTTTATACACATTAGATTTCGCCTTGCGTCGTATGTACTTGAGTTCATGTTTCTTTAAAGAAAAACTAACCCTAAGGTGCATGTACGTATGCCAGCCGCCAAACTGGTATTTTCTAAAACAACGACGTCATATCGGAAAACAGCCTCTCACGTTACATAATGTAAAGAACATAACAATAACAAAAATTGTCGATTTATGTACAATATTTTTGGATATATCTCAATTTTTACCGATTCATTAGGATTCGAAGTCCTTATCTTGTATTAATATTACCAAATATCGTTTCTTCACACTGATCTGCGAATATTTTTTGAACGAATGTTTACTGCGGTGATGTGTTAATGATTATTAAATACATTTGTACTTTTCTTAGAAAAGCAGCATATAAAACGACAAAGAGGTCGAGAACAACACTATCAGAAACGAAAAGAATATAGTTATATTTCACTGCTTTAAAGCGCGATCAGTTAATTTCATAAATAAAACTTGGAATCAAACGAAAATTATTCCATCGCAAATAATGACTAGTTCAAAGTGCAGTATGTCTTGGAGTTGAATACAAAATATTACAGCTTCATTTTGCCCACCTCATCCGATTAATGATATTATGGAGCCATTAGCCATAAGTAAGCATCTGCACCATTAACTAATCTGTTAATATTTTCACTTACACCGATTTTATAGTAAGCCTTAACTAAGCATCTTATCTTATGATTAATTACAATACTTAGCGAGAAATATTCAACATTTACATATTTTAATACACTTTTATCACATTGCTGATACTTATTCAGTAATAGGATACTTCGTTATTATTGGCTGTGTACATCACTGTCTTAAAGGGTTGGACGTTTTATTTTGTTCAAATGGGCGGTGTATTCAAATGGCCTAGTCTAGGGTGATTGAGCCTTAAGGTCATGCCATTAAGAACTTTGTATTAGAACATACTTCGAGCATATCTGAACAAAAACAAAGAACAACCTCTTGTTATGCTCATTTCTTCGCAGTACCTTTTCCCACAGCCTGCGAAAATTCTTAAATGAACTTGTTTCAGGTCGAAATATCATGTTTTGTTTCAAACATTGTACATGTAATAGATTAGGAATGGATCATAAATTGATCTTCCAATCCGTTTTACAGGTGCTGTTGTTTTTAAGGGATTAAGACTTTTACTTGTTTTAAACAACATCCGCCTTTTTAAGGTTTAATATGTCAAATTGTAAACAAACACAAAACGGCCGCCGTTTAATGTTTTACATTAAAATATCTTTTGCCTGGAACAGCGGCTGATGGGTTTTTTTTATAAATGATCAAAGTTTTGGAATATTTCCTTAAAGGTTTAAGGAAAAACAGCGGGATTAATTAATTAACCGTGCCATAGTTTTATCCAAAAAGGCATAATTGTGTTACGATTCTTAATAGAGTCAAGTGCTCTTACATGAAAGTGCAAATAATGGTAATTATCTAGAATTTGGAGGGTCAAAGCATTACATGAAATGGTAAAGAAGTAAAAAAAAAATGGCACAAAAAATGATACGAAAGATGTCATTTTATCACATTTCTTGACAGTGTCGTGTATTCTTTCTATAAGTATGGATGATGACTGACAAATATTCAAAGTTAAAAGTCAATAACCTACCGGGTATTTGAAAGCGGATGAGCTGGTACAAAGAAATGAACTAAAAATCTTTGTCACTTTGTTAACAGAATGATGTATGTCTTCTTACCTACAAGAAAAGTGGATGGTCATTTAGAAGTAGCAATACCTTTAAAGGTATATTAAATAATAAGTGAGGGTATTCAAGTAAGTGAACCGAAATTTTAGATTATTAAGGGAGAACGATTTCGTCACAAGTCAGATCAGAGGAATGTTCTTTTGTCTGAAAGTGGTGATGATCGTATTTTATAAGTATTTATAATTCAAAGTTATATGTGAAATGGTAGAGGAAATAGATAGGTTGCAAGATATTCTAAGTCCACTTATAAGGCAACGGTTTAACCTCATTTTAGATATTATTATGTTATCGTTTTCGCTCATTGACTCCGTTCAATTACCTGAGCGTAAACGTAACAGTGTACAAGTATACTGTACTATTTAGATTACATTTACTACTAAGTTATTATGTAAGGATAGAATTAAAGACAGCTGTTCATAATAATGACACTAAAGACACACCCATCTGATGGGGTCGCTTTGTCTCAATTTATGCCACTGAGCATAAACTAGAGTCATTGAGCCTTGACTAAAACACATTGATACTGCTAGAAACAGTAGATGTTAAGCATATTGATGGGGCAAATCATTGTAAGTCTCTGCTTAGTAACATTGCTGTATGACATTTAAACCCCTAACTCCATCTCTTACATGCATTCTTTAAATACTTACTAACCCGATCAAAAAACAGAATAGTGTGAATATTGTTGAATTTATTTTATACTTTGAATTGCAAAGACACAGGTACATTAATTTTATCAAATAATTGGCTATGGGGAAAATGATCAATACGCCTTACAGCAACAATAGTTAGGTTCGCAGTGATTAGCCGTCTATGAACATCCTCCAGAGCCAAAATTTAACTTTTCCAGAATCAAGTTGGTCACAACCAGGATTTGCTCTTAGAAGAGGGTCAATCTTTTTTATATGGAGTGCATCGAAACAAGACAAGCTGTGAATAGGTAATGTAACATAGAAGTTAAAATATAATACAGGTAATCACTTTGTTTCCAGATTTTTTTATCGATACAGATCAACACAATCATCATCATCATCATCATCTTCATCATCCCCCAATCATCATTAAAATAATACGCCGATTTTAAAGCGTCAATAACAGAAGGGTGAACCATAATTATTTCCTGAAACAACATAAATTATTTTCACACATATGCATCATGAACTTATGAACAATAATATAATACTACAATGTTTAGATCTACTTTTAAAAGTTTATATATGCCTGCATAACAATACTAGTACTTCCAAGGAAACGTAAGCGGGCGGGTTAATGAAAATATTTGTTTACATTGAGGTGTGATCGTTACATTAACATGTAAGACATTACAATTGAAAATAATGATCAAACTATTTTTCTTGCCTGTCTCTGATTAGAGATAGATATCAAAATAGAGTTAGAGATCCTGACTTATCGGCGCATAAGCACAATCTCTCCTTTTTGCAAATACAAAAGCAGGACTTCTCGAAGCACTGGGCCATCAATTCAAAGTAATTATAACTCAAACTATAGTGCTCTTCTGATCTGGAATAGTCTATGCTCACTGAAAAAGTAAAATGTAAACGTAAACGTAGTTTACCATGTGGCTATAAACTTATTCAACATTGTAACATTTTTAATGCATATTTGTTGAAACACAAATATTTGAACTTTATGTTTTCTTTGTTAAAGAATCTTTTCTTTCGGTATTTATAAATACACATGTATGTAAATTGTAATATTATGTGGCAATTTTAAAGTACATGTATACTATTTCTCCAAGTTCATGTTTTTCATGAATTTTATGTAAAATTGCTGATATCATATGTTTATTCATAATTTAGCAGCAGAAACAGAAACTCAAGACTTAAAAATACACAAAAACTATGAAATAAGAAATAATATTTTCATAGAAGAATTATCGCAGCAATGTATAGGATGTTTCTACGTCCTTCCATTGTCTCGTGTCAGGTTGAACTCTTGTCACAAACAGGTTTTGACTTGTTCGTTTATTTTAATATCTTGGCAATGGTAGGTATTCTTCGTTATCTGTTCTTAAAAAGTGTCATAAAAATCAAAATACCAAATAATCAAACGTATCTTATAAATCTTTAGTAGATAATTTCTTTTTGACATCAGCAACGAACGAAAGTTCTGGCAAAATTCATTTATAGTGGTTATTGATGATATGCAATTCATATGTCTATTTAATACAACAATTAAATGCATCATCGGATAGAATTCTTTTCTCCTTTTGTTTTTTATTCTGTTTTGTATTTTCTGTTTTATGATGTGGCTGTCAATTTATAAATTTATAACATTTAAAATACAAAGGAGTTTGTGCCTGTCATGTTATTGTCATTGCCGCAAAACCAAAAGAAATGAACGAATGATGATCACGATCGATCTCAACATTTTCCCAACATTTCTTTCATCTTAGAGGCGGGTGGTGCTAACAAGGTTGTTTTTGTTAATTACTGCCTTGGAAGTATTGTCGTATCCACAGAACAGGTGAGAGGAGATTCTGATTTGCTGCTGATTAGGGCTCTACGATCGGACCATCAAATGCGCAGATAATCTGGCCCTTGTCGTTGATTCCAGCGGCTATAGAATAAAAATAACTTATCCACACAAACATGCACGCGCGCGCACGCACGCACGCAAACACACACACACAACATCTTTAAGCGGTGTAAATTGTATATCAGACAGACAAAAGACGTATTTACGTAACTTACGCTGCTTGCGGATTGGCGCCGTTTTGCCAAAATATTTATAAACTGATATGGATCAAATCTGTGGCGTAAGTGTTTGTGAGATATTATTTCAGTATTGCATGAAAAGAAAACATTATAATGACTGAAAATATCAATAAAAAACCTTTTTCATATTGCTTTAAAAGGCTTTGTAAACTACATTATCGAGGGAAAAAACAAAACAGCAGCATATACAAGTAGTCCATAACCAGTGTTTATTTGTAATTTTACACCGTTTTTTGTCTTCTTTGTCAATTGTAAAAAAAACACGAGGAGGGTTAGAATTATTTATTTCAAGGGGTTTATACGATGCGCGCGCATCCTCAAAATTCTGATACCGCGAACACGTTTTCAATTCGTACTTTTTTTAGTTTGTACTTTGAACAAAAACGAGTAATGTAAAACAATCGGAATAGATTTGAATTTAATTTCTTTTCAAAGAAGATGTCCTTGCTTTTAAATGCCTTGACGCAGGTCGTCCTTTTCTCGTCAGTATTTCGCGATGAATGCGATTTTCATCATTGATATTGATATCTCGGAAGATTAAACAGAACGTTGCAGACAACTGGAAGTTAGTTTATTGTAGAATCTATTTAATAAATGTTTTTTCAATCTTTGTTCTTTTTTCTTTTCTAGGGAAATGTCTTAAAACGAACTATTTACATGAAATAGACATTATTATGCTGTTGCACTCTCACAAAAATCAAGATACTGTGTTAACAGTTATGTGCTACACTTTCTTCGGATTAAGTTCATATTGGAATCAAATGGATAACACTGGCGAACAACAACAACAACAACAATTATAATAATGATAATAATAATAACTAAATAGATAATTCAGATAAAATTATTTATTATATACTTATAGATGAAATATTGCGTATTTTCATTTGCGTATTTAAACTGTAAAAAATATTTTTCACTACAATGAAACATATTTTCCGTATTTTCAATGGTATCTTGCCGGACTACTTTTTTCTTTATTAAGCTTTTTCACAAAATTAAAGAGAAGTCTTAAGAATTGTAAGGTCAAAAAAAGAGAAAAAAAAGTATATAAAAAAAACCCCCAGAAAATTCAAGTTCTTTCCTATAATTACAGGATTTATTTTCATCTTGTGGTATGAAAATTACCATATTTCGCGAGTGGTAGTACCACTCGATGTAAATAAATACTGTATTTATAGAAAAAACTTGAATATCCTCTATAGATCTTTATTCAAATCCTCTGATGTAATGTTTAAAATGTGCATCCTCAAAAAGGTTTAAGTTAAATTTTTTTTATTAAATTTGTTAACTTATTTATGCAACACTCTTTACTGATATACTGTTTCGCACACAGCGTTTAGAATAACTAACTTTTTACAATCAAATTTATATCTCTTTTAAGAAAACAAAAGTACGTCGCGAATTCTTTTCAAGACATCATAAAGAACGACATCGGATAATTTGGATAACAAGTAAAATTGAAATGATTGGTATACTTAAAATAAATAAAAGACAAAGACAGAGGAAAAAAAACAACATCTTCGTAGCGCATATAGAATAATTATGTCAATTTGAATATTGGTGCGAATTGCGAATTAGATAATGCTAAAAAGATTATGACATTCAGACATGACACTATCACTTCAGTTAAACGTTTATTTTAATTCCTGAAAGCTCGGTCAGAAAAGCTTTTTTTATTACAATATTTATTTAATAACAGTGTGATTTTGTTAAAACTAAAAAATATGCACAAAATCAAGTCTATATTTTTCCCCATTGCTGAATAGACGAATGCATATCTATGGAAAGCCTTGACTGTCTTATGATTGTAAAGATGAACGTTGTTGTGTCACTCTTTCTTTATACTATGTGCACTCATGAATATATTATGTAGATGCATCCTTATATGAATACAACTGAACAATATATGATGTCAATGTGTCTTTATATGATGTCGACCATCATTATACGATGTGCATTTATGAATATATGATGTGGTAGAATCATTATATACAGTCAACTTATCAATATATTATGTCAATCTTTCATTATACGATGTGCATCTATTATTATACGATGTGCATTTATGAATATATTATGTGGTTGCATCATTATATACAGTCAACTTATCAATATATTATGTCAATCTTTCATTATAAGATGTGCATCTATTGTTATACGACTGCTGCTTTATATGAAGTGCAAACATCATTATATGGTGTGCTTCTGTCATTATACTGATGGGGTTAAATTTACCGGGTTATATCTCACTATGCACCGTTCGTGGCAACAGCGGAAAAACTCAAAGTAAATTAAATCATATAGTGTTAAGCTGACTCTATATAAAAACAATTCTACATACTAAAGTGTTGTTTTGACTCTATATAAGAATGGTTCCACATAATATATTCGTAATTGCACATCATATAATGAAAGAATGACATCATATAAGGACGTGTTGACATAATATAATGTTAAGTTGACTCTATATAAAGATGGTTTCACATAATATATTTATTAATGCACATCGTATAATGAAAGATAGGCATCATATAAGGACGTGTTGACATCATATAATGTTAAGTTGACTCTATATAAAGACGGTTCTACATAATATAATGTTGTTTTTACTCTATATAAGAATGGTTCCACATAATATATTCGTAATTGCACATCATATAATGAAAGACTGACATCATATAAGGACATATTCACATCATATATTGTTAAGTTGACTCTATATAAGGATGGTTTAACATAATATATTGAAAAATGTACATCGTATAATGAAAGATTGACATCATATAAGGACGTGTTGACATCATATATTGTTAAGTTCACTCTATATTAGGATGGTTTCACATAATATACTGAAAAATGCACATCGTATAATGATAGAATGACATCATATAAAGGCACGTTGACATCATATATTGTTCAGTTGACTACATATAAGAATTATTCCACATAATATATTCATAACTTCACATCATATAATGACAGACTGACATCATATAAGGACAGATTGACATCATATATTGTTGTTTTGACCTTATATAAGGATGGCTCCACATAATATATTCAAAAATGCACAACGTATAATGATAGATTGACATCATATAAAGGCACGTTGACATCATATATTGTTCAGTTGACTACATATAAAGATGGATCCACATAATATATTAATGAGTGCACATTGTATAAGGAAAGGTTGACTCAATATATTGCTATATGGACATAAAAACGTTTAGGTTTATAATTATAAGACAGTCAAGGCTTTCCATATTCAAGTATTAAATCTATATAATCTAAAGTGTTGCTGTAATCAATATGCATATTATAATTAATCGGCATATGTTAACTATGGAACGCCTGGACTGTCTTATGTTAAGAATGAATGATATACCTGGTTAAATGTCTTTCTGTTGAGTCCGAGATACAAAATGCTGGGTGGAAATCCTAATGTGCTCAGTTATTGAAGTGCTATGTTGTGTGCTGACTGTATTTTATTCAGTCAAGTCAATGTATTATCGGGTGCATAAGTCGTTATGTTCACTTCTTAAAACAAACAGGCATGTGGTAACACAATTATGTTGAGTTAAAAAGATATGTTGTAGGGTGTTACAGTTATTATGTTCGGTTAAAATAATATGCTGTTTGGTGCTCTTCTCATCATGTTCAACCATGAAAATAAACAGCTGAGTGGTACTATCATTTTGTTTGGCTGAGGCAGTGTATCATTGGGTGATACTTTTATTATTTTCAGTTGCAATGACATGCTGTTGGGTGCTTTACTCCTTCTGTTCAGTCGTGAAATAGAACTGTTAAATGGTACAATCATTATCTTAAATGGTACTATCATTATCTTTTGTGCTGATTATATCTTCTTCAGTCAAGTCAATGTGTTGTTCGGTGCAAAGTTCGTTATGTTCAGTGGTTTTTTGGTACTATCATTATGTTCAGTTCAGATGATATACTGTTCGGTGCTGAGGTAATTATGTTCAATAGTGAACACAAACTGTTGTGTGATACCACAATTATGTTGGGTTCATTCGGATATTTTCGGGCGACTAATTTCCATAGGTCACGTCGAGGCTAATGACCACTAAATTGCCAAAACAATTTTCTTCCCCGTAAATATCATCGGGGGCTTAAGAACGTTATTTTCATAAATTGGGCTTTTAAATACCCAATGGGAATTTTATATAGTTTATTCATGACTATACTATACTGTTACAGTCATAATGGGTACAGTATATAAAACGTAAAATATGGGTAATGGTAGCCTGTTAAAGTCACACATGACCACCGTAAATAAAACTTAAAATTGATCTGTTTGGTAACCTATAAGAGTCACAAATGGACACAGCAAACGAAATTTAAAATATAAAACATCATATACGAGTACAAGTAAGAGAACCCTATTTGAGTCACACATGGCCACAGTATATGGAGCATATAAGTAAGGGTATCCTATTAAAGTCACATATATGGCCACAGCATATGCAACTTAAAATATATGTGTTGGTAACCCATTTGAGTCACACATAACCACAATAAATGGAACATAATATTTAAGTAAGGGAAACCTATTTGAGTCACACATGGCCACAGTATATGGGACATTAAATATAAGCAAGGGTAGCGCAATAAAGTCACACATACCCACATTACGAAGAACATTCTATATAAGTAAGGGTAACCTAATTGAGTCACACTAGGCCAAAATATATGGAACATTATGTTTAAGTAAGGGAAATCTATTTGAGTAACACATGACTAAAGAATATGGAACATTATATATAAATAAGGATAGCCTAATAAAATTAGACTCAAGTACATTTCCCTGAATTAGGTTTCACTTACTTATATAGAATTTTCTTTATACTTTGGCCATGTTTGCATTCATTAGGCTACCCTTAGTTATATATAATGTTCCATTTACTGTGGTCATGTGTGTCTCAAATGGGGTTTCCATACTTATATTTGACGTTCCATATACTGTGGCCATGTGTGACTCAAATAGGTTTGCCTTACTTGTATATTATGTTGCATATTTTAAATTTCGTTTGATGTGTCCACTTGTGAGTCTAAAATGTTACCAACACATATATTTTAAGTTTTATTTACGGTGGTCATGTGTTACTTAAACACGCTACCCTTATCCATATTTTAAGTTTTATATACTGTACCCATTAGGACTGTAACAGTATAGTAAAGTCATAAATCAACTTGATAAAATACCCATTGGGTATTAAATATGCCATACGATATGTCCAATTTATGGAAATAACGTTTTTAAGCTCCTGATGGTATTTACGGGAAGAAAATTGTTTTGGCAATTAAGTGGTCATTAGTCTCGACGTGACCTATGGAAATTAGTTGCTCCCGCCCGCCGAAGATATCCGAGTGAACCCAACATAATTGTATGACCACTCAGCGCATTGTCAATTGACTTATGCACCGAACAGTATATCATCTTAACTGAACATAATGACGGTATCACACC